GCGTGTGTGCGTGTGTGTGTGTGTGTGTGCATGTGCCTGTCTGTGCATATTTGTTAGCGTGTGTGTGTGTTCGTGCACATTGAGCGCGGGGAGATGCGCGCGAACGTGCGCGGTCAGGGACATGGTTGCCACTTCGATTCCCGGAATGGTGCTTCGCTTGTGTGTGGATGTGTGAGGAAAGCATCAAAAACGATTGCGCTCGTGCTGTGCTCAACCTCATCTTAAGCACTTGCCACACTCGACTGATCCTGATTAATCCCAATGTCATGTCCGCCGATCTGCCCAATGGATGATCAATTGAAACACGCGGTGGCAGTGTCGATACAGCGAACGCATCCATCGACCAATCGCGAAACACGATGAGATCACTCGTGATCGGATGATTGATCGTGTCTGTCGTGTCGACGTTATCACCGCGTGTGTGTTGTTTGTTCTATCGTGTGTGTTCAGACCACTCGTGATCGGATGACCGATCAGATCCATGACAATATGCACACCACACACGTGATGAACCGACCCATCACCAAACACAAGCCGACCACTCGCGATCGGGTGATAGATGTTGTTTGCTGCCCCAACAACATCGCCCCTGATCTGCCCAATGGATGATTAACCAATGCACGAGGCGACAACGTCTGGATCACAAACGCATCCAACCGACCAGGCAATAGATTACTTGCGATCGGACGATTGATCGTGTGTGCTGCACCGAAGACGTCGCCGCTTGTGTGTTTCGATCGTCTCAATGGCAAAACCAAAACACACGCGGCGATGTGCATGTGTGTGTGTGTGCGCGTGTGCATGTGTGTCTTGTATGAGTACCATAACCTGTTTTTTGTTCCGCCAGGCGATGTGCGTGCGCGTGTTCCCGTGCGTCTGCGTGTGCGAGATGCAACCCGTCGGCGAGCTACCTGTTTATCTAACCACCTGAAAGTCATCGATCGAACAGTCGATTGGTCGGGGAATCTGCCTGGATCAACTGATTGGCGATTGCTCGACCAGTTGATCAACCACCACACCAACCGCCAACCTAGCAGCCGATCAATCAGCTGATCCTGGCAGATTTCATAACCAATCAAGTGTTATGTGCACATTGATCGCGGAGAATCCTCAAGGCAAATGATCATGTGCACGATCGAAACCCGCGAAGGAATCACACAACCGGTCGGAAAAACGTCGATCCCGATCTGCGAACGGAAAATAAGCACTTCGTCACAATCTTGTTGCACATCGAACGTCGTATAACATCGAACCTGGCTCCACATCAAACCTCGACGGGCGTCGAACCTCGTCGGATGTCGAACTTTGGAGGACGTCGGGTCATCGACACTTGACGGTCACTGAACGGCGAACGTTGAGCAGCCACCACCCCACGCATCACCGGCACAGTCCTTGTGATCGGAACGTGACCGTTCCAATCCGCCAGCACAAACTTGGCAGAGCCAACCGAACTGATCGCGCAATCAAACACCGGAAGAATTCCGGATTCCGGCGAGCTTGAGCAGCTGTTCGAATACGCTTCGCGACCCCGGACCTCAACCACAGTCGCGGACGTGTGAAGATTTGAAGTCCGCCGGGATCCGAACTTCAAGAAATTGTTGGACGACGAGTTTGGCAGACAGGTGTGTCTCTCCCACGCAATTTCGCGAAGTTCGGACCCCGATGAACTTAAGGTTTTCGCCTTTCGCAAGACATGTTTGCGGCTCGCCCGCTGGCTTGTGGATCCGAACCTCGCTTCCACAGTTCCTTGCATAATCGTCAACTCCGGACCTCGGTGAACTTCGGATTCGTGAAAATGCGAAATCCGCCGGGATCCGGACTTCTCCTTCACGGTCCTCGCCAAGTTCGGATCCTGGCGAATTTTGCTTTTCGCATTGTGTGGGTTCCGAATGCGGACTTTCTAGCGCCCGGGGGATTGGCACAACTACGGATTCGAAAAAATGTGAAGTCCGCCGGGATCCGAACTTCTCACGCACGCCGCACGGCTCCTCGTTCAATCGCCGAGTTCGCTGGTTGTCTCTCTCCCTCGCGGTTTCGCCAAGTTCGGATCCCGACGAACAACAGGTTCCCGCCTTTCGCCAGACATTTTTGCAGCTCACTTGCCCTCCCGTGGATTTGAACCTCCCGTGCCCGGTTCCTCGCACGTTCGCCAAGTTCGGAACCCAGCGGACTTTGGATTCGTGAAAATGCAAAGTCCATCGGGATCCGAATTTCTCGTGAACGGTTCCGCGTGCACTCGTCAAGTTCGGACCCAGACGAACTTCGCTTCCCGCATGGTATGGGTTCTGATTGTGGGCTTTCTTGTGCCCGGTGGTTTGCCACAACTTTTGTTTCACAAAAATGCGAAGTCCGTCGGGATCCGAACTTCTCGTGCACGGTTCCTCGTCCCATCGTCAAGTTCGCCGGCTGTGTCTCTCCCGCGAGATTTCTCCAAGTTCGGATTCCGGCGAACTTGAGATTTCCTCCTTTCACAATTCATGTTTGCGGCCCGCCTGCTGGGCCGTGCATCTTAAACTGCCGTGCACGGTTCTTCGGACAGTCGTCAATTCCGAATCCCGACGAACTTCAGATTCGATAGAATGCGAAGTCCGCTGGGATCCGAACTTCTCGTGCAAGGTTCCTCGTGCGGTCATCAAGTTCGGACCCAGGCGTAATTGAATTTTCGGGTGGTGTGGGTTCTGACTGTGGGGTTTTCTGCCGGCCGATGGATAGCCACAACTTCGGATTCTTAACAATGTGAAGTCCACTGGGATCCGAACTTCAAGAAATTTTGGGACGACGAGTTTGAGAGACACCTTTGTCTCTCCCGCGCAGTCTCGCCAAGTTCGGATCACGGCGACCATGAGGTTCCCACCTCTCGTGGGACATGTTTGCGGCTGGCCGGCCGGCCGGCAGATGTGAACACCGACCAAGTCGACCGCCCGAAATCAGATCTTCGAGCGTGCGCTCCGTCTGATGCCATGGGTCGCAGATCGTGAAACACGACGTGTTTACGAGTGGCTCCGTGCCCGTGTGTGTTGTTTGGCATGTGCGCGTGGTGTGTAAGGTGCGTAATGGAGGCGACCTTCTCGACACCACGAATCGTGGAGCCGATCTTCTCAACACCACAGACCATGAGTCCCGAGACGCACATTCGCTTGGCAGAACCGTTTCCTCCTTGCGCGAGATTCGTGCGGTATTTCAACGGTGTAACTACGATCCACGGAGCGACCACAGAGGACTTCACCGAGGACCCCTGGATGACCGTCGTCCCGTGCCTGGAGGGGCATATTTATGGCTGGTGCGATCGGAATTGGGCCACGATGGAGAGTCGTTATCCTTGGGCAAGCCAGTACAAGTTCGCCAACATGTTGGAGTTCAGGAACCTCATCCCGGTGTCTGACGCTGTCCTCGGACACAAGTTCCTGAACCACATGCGCAGAGCACTGGGCTGCATTAGCCGCCATTTCAGCCGCCTCGAGTGCCACTACATCAGGTCGTCGCCACGAACTTGGGGAGGCCCGCGGAAACAAGAGTTGGTGGACTGCGCTCGCCACTGCTCATTCCTAGAGCAGTACCCGCTCCGGTGCCCCGGGAATTCTCCACAAGTTGTGTCATACTGTTGTGTGCGATTGATTGTGTCCGGGTCTGATTTCGCCAGAGTTCTATGTGTTGCTGCTTCGAACAAGAGCAGGAAACTCGTTGATGCAGTTGTGCTTGTATCACACAACGAGGTGGTGATTGAGGGGTCCAAATTCGTGGCGACGTGCGAGCCTGAACGTGTAGATGGGTGGCGTGATTTGGTTATAGCAGGGCGGGTCCAAAACTTTTCGTTGCATCGTGAGGTCGAGGAGAAAGTGTGCGATATACGGGACTGTATAGGGAATTCCTTAGCACGACTGAGAGTGTTTGTTAGGATGAAATACATGTCCATCTTTTTCGAGAGGGCATCGGTAGACGAACCGCAGATCCACGTATACGGATCGTCAATGAATGCTTTGTATGGCTTCGGTTCACGACGTCGTTCCAGGGGAACCCCGAATGTCGACACATCTGAACGGGTGGTCAGTCCTGGTGTTTGAGGGAAAAAAAGGGAGAGGTATGAGATGCTGTTTTGCTGCCTATAACATCATCAGTGGAGGGAGGTGTGATTGGCAACAGTTGCTAGTAGACGCCACACCGCGAACTTGTCGTGCAAATCCCTGATCGTCGTTTAGTTCAACGACCAACGAAAATCATGTTGGAGGTCTATCTCTGACGCCGTCTCCTTCACTGTCACGCCCCGGCGAAGTTTGTATCCCGTCGAACTACGCGTTTTCGGCTGTGCGTTGATTTGGCTTCGGTACTGTTGGCGTCGGGCGGGCCGCAAGAACCAGCGAGGCCCACGGGCAGGGTCTTGCTTGAGGCCGCAGGCCCGTCCGACCAGCCTTCGAGCTACGAGTGCTTGCCGGAGACCAAAATCCAGCCGGGCGCAACGTTAAAAAAGGATATGCGACCAGTTCCGCCTGGGCACGTTCGCGATCCGAGACAGCCGCCAACCAAACTTCACAAACACTATCCGTGTTCGGTTGTCGCTCGTCCACCATCGACATGTGCCAAACAGTCAATCATTGTAGTTGTGAAATGCCAAAAGCACTCTTAGGGATCCCAGCCGCAGAGTTCGACGCTGGCCGGACAATTATGAAGTTCTTCCTCCAACACCTTGCTCGGACCCCAACTTGCGGCTAACCTCATACGTGATCCAGTATTTCTCTCTGTGTGTCTTTCTTGCAGCGTCCTTAAGTGCGGATCCCGGCGAACTTCCTGTGACGCATGTCTACTGGACAGGCACTGGTCTTCCTGATCCCCCGTGGATTGCGACAACAGTTCCTGTCCGCCCTGCTCCACGCGTTTCGTTCTGCCCCACCAGGGACCCATATCATGTTGTCACGATTGCTGCACATATCAGAAGAAGTTCGGATTTTGGGGAACTTATCCTTCTCAACCTGCCTCTCATGTTTGTGTGGCATTCCCAGGTTGTGGTTGAGTCCACGGATCGTGTGTCTCTGACGCCGTCTCTGCCTGTCGCATCGTCCTGAAGTTTGGATTCCGGCGAACTTCACGTTTCGGGAGGTGCGTTGGTTTGTCTTCGGACATGCCCGTCCGCTGGTTCGCACACCCCCCCCGGCGACGGGGAGAGTCCGTCTCCGACTTCTGGTTTTGATCAAATGCAATTGCGGAGTGTGTTCGCTCGAGAACGGTTATGGAACGCCGATTACATAGGCTGGTTGTTTCTCTCTTTCTTTCGCACCATCTTTTAGTCGGGACCCGGGTGGACTCCGCGTGCTAGTCTGTCCGGGCTCCGAGTGCTGGGCGGAGGACACTGCACCGTCCAACGCGAGCTTCGAACATGACCTCCCGTTCATTCCCCTTGTGGTCGGCAATCGTGTTTCGGAAATACCGATGTGGTTGTCGCCCGGCCGCATGACGTGTGTCCCCTTTTAAAGATTGATCTCGTTGCAGGTAAGAGGTCTGTCTCTAACGTGCAGTCCTTTGGTTCGGATCCCGGCAAACTTCTCGATTTTCCCTATGCGTTGGTTTGTCTTCGTTCTTCCGGTGCGCCGTCTGCCGCATAAACGGCGCTTGATCCCCGACACTCTGCCTCTGGGCCTCATGCACTATTGAAATTCGGATTCCGGCGAACTACTCATTCTAGCCGTTCCGAAGTTGGGTTCCGGGGTGTCTTTGCGTGCGGATTTTGCTAAGCAAGAGCCTGCGTTGCAGTGTGCCGACGGCTGTTTTGTTCCTGATGTATTTTCCTAGACGTTGACTGCATGGTGTGTTGTATGATTTGGATTGTCGTTCGCAGACAGGCTGTCTTCTTCAAAGGGCAAGGTGGAGCCAACGGGGACCTCCAGGAAGGCATCCGGAAAAGATTCCACGAGGAGGTCGTCTACTGCCACGAAAGGGTGGTCGAACCATGCGAAGTCGAAATGGTTCATCGACTGGTGCTGTGGAGACGCTTCCAACCCCACTACGCAGCCATGTGGTCCTGCCATCTTCGTCGATGACGGCAGAAGGCGTCGAGTGCTTGGGGCCGTCTTGGGGTGGGAGGACGCGAAGGGGGGCCGACGACATTTCCGTATGGAAAACGTTTATGGCTCCAAGGGCAACGTCATTGCCAATTCGAAAGGGGTGTTGTTGGACCTCGAATTGTGTGAGGGGTTCGGAGCGGGTGCTGTGGACACCCCGTTCTACAGAGAACTCGTTCTCGGGGGTGGTTTTGTTTTGGCGCATGCGTTTTTCGACATGCTGGAGGACAAGAACATCGTTCTCGACGTCCCCTGCGACGTCGGCCCCTCCCTGGAGCTCTCGTTGCCGTTCAGGCTGTGCGGCGGTTGCGAGTCAAGCGGGGCGGGGGCGGAAGGCGGTGATCTGGGTTCTGGTCCAGCTACTCAGCTGCACCGTGGCGAGAGTCGGGGACAGTTCGACAACAGCGAGGACGAGGGGCCTGCAGCGCCGTTGAGGGACACGCGGCGGTCTGTGTTGTCTATTTCAGGGGTCGACATTGGCGATCCGGTTCAACGAGAGAGTGCGGAACCTATAGGAAAGGTGGCAGCCTCTTCGGAGGCCGACTTGGAGGCGAGCGAGGGCCAGAGTGTGAATGAGGTAACCGCGGGCGGCCAGGGCACGCAAGGCACTCCGCAAAAGAGGAAGGGGGATCGCACAGACGAGTTCGTCGGTTCTACGAAGAAGCTGAAGAGCAAGGCCCCCAAGACTGCGGGAGAGAAACACAAGGGGACCGAGGGGGAGCAGGGCCGGCAGGTTGCCAAACGGCCGGCTTCGAGACAGAAGCAGCCTGCGTCTGGAACGTCTTCTCCACCGACGAAAAGGCCTCCAATCGACGTCGACGCCGGGAACTTCCTCGAGTACAAAGACAGCGTTCGAACAAAGAGGGAGTTCGAGGTTAGCCCTGCTCAGGTCGTCGACCTCGGAGAGTGGGAGGACCTGTACAACCAGCGGTCCCTGGATCCCGTGCTCGTGGAAGGGATCAAAGAAGCGATGCGGTTGGCGTTCGAAAACAAAGCGCAGTCTTACGATTTGCCTACCTTGAAGCTGGCACCACTGGGGCTTGATAAACCGACTCCGGGGAGCAAGGCAGAACGTCTGAGGCCGGAGGATTGGAGGGATGAGCTGGCGGGGCAATACTACTACTATGAGTGTGTGGGCAGCACAACGCGGCTGCAGCGAGGTCGCTGCTCGGCAGCGAGGTGGCCAGGAAATACAATTTTGAGCGGTGTCCTGCACGAATGTTCTACTTTTCGGACGACGACTTCGAAGGGTACTTCCTTGTCAGTTCCCAGGATAACAAGAAGGACCTGAAGGCGCCCCCGAGACAGCTGAAGCTGTCAATGAAAGACATTAGGTGGCAGTGGAAGCGCGACGGGTGCCCGCGTGCTGTTAAGGGAAACCCCAGCGAAAAACAGGCTCAGGTCTGAAAGTGGCGTGAATTCTGTGAAGTCGTGCTCAATATGACGCCGCACAACAACTTGTGGACGCTGGCAGATCAGAAGGGCCACGACCCCATCAGGAAGCAAGGCGCTGCCCTGCGTTCCTATTTCCCGCTGGCGATGGCAGGGGAGAACGTATGGAAACTGGCCGTCGAGTTTTTCGATAAATGGGAGACTGGTAGATTGCTCGGCCACGACGGCGCAAAGTGGATCATGCGGAAGAAGAAGTTCAAAAATGTGAAGCCCGGGGTTGCCTACGTCGAGAACGACAAGACGGGCAGGAAAGAGGTCGTGTACAACGTCCCTGTGGACCCACCGACAAAGAAAGGCAAAAAGGAGAAAGAGGAGGGCGACTGGTTCGTGGCACTTCGTGCAAGTGCCTGAGCCAGACGCACATTGTTGGAAAGCGATGGAGTCGCTGACTGCCAACGAGAAGTGCCGCGTCCTGAAGAAGGTTCTCGCTTGCGAGGTGGTTTGGGTCCAGGCCGGCTCCGCGACGTTGGCGAAGCTTGGGAAGCTAAGCGTCCAGGACATGGTTCATTTGGTGAAGTGCGACCGGGTGCTGGTGCGTCTATGGAACTACTACCAGTTCAAGCACGAGAAGAGGCCGGAGGTGCCCGTTCTTGAAAACAAGGTCCGCAATTTTCAAACAGTTTGAGAGTCATGGTTTGGATGCAGAGTTGTGGGACGGGAGCAAGAAAAACGTCGCTGACTCCTCGTTATTCAAGGACTGCCCGCCTTACATGGGCTGCGACGACGACCAATTCATCGAGGCGATGGAGAAGTTGGCCGATCACAAGAAGCTGTCCATCGAATGGAGGAATAAGGTCCTGTCCGTGTTGACTGGCAGTAGACTGAAGAGTTGCGAGATCGCGCATGCCAAAGGAATTGTGCACATAAAATGGAAAGACACGGACGACGTGACATCCATCATGCCATTCGGCAACGACCCCTTGGAGACAGACATAAGGTGTGCAGAGGTGAAGGAGGCGGTGGTTGCCACAAACAGTCACACGTTCGTCCTCAATCTCTGGGAACCGGTGGACCTGAAGCTGTGGAAACCGCAAGCGTTCGACACTCTGGATTCCCAGCTTCGGACGTGGTGTCCGTCGCAGTGGACGCTCGTCGTTTTCGTCCCGCGGCAGCAGAACCTCTCGTTTTTGGCTAGCATGAACCACCTTTCTTTCGTGAAGCTGCTGAAAGGGAAGTGGGTGAGGAGGAGTCAACAAAAGAAAAGCTTCCCCGTCGGGAATAATTTGTATGGAAGACGATCGGATGTACATACTCTTCAAAGGCGACGATTTGCGCGCTAACACGTCCGTCGTCTACGAGGGAAAACTGCCGCCTGCCGCCGCTGCTGCAGTGCGGCTGCCGCAGAAGGTTACGCAAACGGATGTGTCCGACATCCCGTTCAACCCTTGCGATTGGTCGCATGTCTCGCCTACGCGTCGGGGCAGTGTGTACGGGGACATGGAACGCAACCCCATGCAATTCGTTAATCTTCTCGAGTCCGTCACCAAAAAGGGGGAGGGTGTAGTCTTCCTCGGGAAGCCACACGCACGATCCGTGTGGGAAGTGCTGAAGGCAGGACGACACGTCATCGCAGTGGAAGGGAACTCCGAGCTCTTGCAATTTACAATTGATCTCGTCAGAAGCGAGGTCAATTCGGGTGCCCACATTTGCGAGTTCATGGTCATCAACGAGTCTCGCCCTCGCGCGTGGAACAACAAGACGGACATGTGGTTCAAGTTGAGTGCGAGAAAGCGAAACAAGATATACGACTTCTTGTTCCTGCAAACGCGGCCCAAGAGAGACACTAACGCCGAGTACGTGCGCCGCAAGGACCACATGTTCACGCTGCTCGACAACTACCACGACGCCTCCCGCATGAACACAAAGACCTTCCTCGAGAGGTTGCAGTCCCTGTACTTCGTGGAGTCAGAGGAGGAGTTGACGTTCGGCAGTTACTCGTCCTTGATCTCCACGGAAGGCGAGGAGACCACCGGCATCGAGTTCGACGCGACCGCGAACGAGGAGGGCAGCGACACCGAAAGCCTCGACCTGCAGTACGACCCGCATCCCGGGCAGCACACAACAGGGTCGTCCTTCGCAGGTCCGTCAACAAGCCCGACATCCCTCGTGTCACCGATGGCGAAAGCGGCGCCTGACACTACCTCGATGAAGTTGCTGCAGAGAATGCAAGCTCTGACCTCCGGCCATCTCTCACTGCGTCCCGGGTCTGACATCCCGGCCGATCATCTGTCTTGGAAGGATGCCAACATTAACTTCCGGCCTGAGCCTCAAAGTCGTTCCACGGAGGCGGACTGGGGCCATGACATGATTTGGCATCCAGGAGTCATCCAGCCGGCGATCCAAAAGGGTGAGTGGATCGTGGCCGTCGCTGTCCCGGACGGAGGATGGATGCCCCTCCCTCGCGGGTCGAAGTCTGACTTTCTCGACGTCGTTAGAATTGTGGTCCTCGAGAAAGTGAGGGCCGAGAACGACTCTTTCGCACCCGAAGACGTGTCCGTCATTTCCACAGCCGGGCGATTGTTCGCCGAACTTCAGGACAAGTGCTGGTTGGAGCTGGCGGAGGACTACTACGACCTCATTACGAGCCCCTTGAAGGGAAGGGTGGACTGGAAAATCCCCCCTCCCAGTGGGACGCATGTAAGTACAGGGTCCCGGGGACCGGACGGTGGGAAGAACGAGGGCGACGAGGCTGGTGGCGGCAAAGGAGTCCCGCCTGGTTCGGAGGGCGGGTCTCAGGGTGACACCACGACAGCGGAAGGCAGCGGCGGGGTGGCGGGGGAGGCCTTCGGGCGTCAGAAGTCTACCGGTCCCGGTCCGGCAGGCTCGGCACAGTAAGCGGACGTGCCCACTTCATCCGCCGGCTCGGTGATGGCGGCCTTGGTTGCTCTCCGTGCCGGCTCGGTCGAAACGTTCAAGTCCGCCGGGATCCGAACTTCAATGCTTGCAGAGCGGACAAAGAGGACAGACGTGCAGAGCCTGTCAGGAGTGGGGGTGGCGAGTCGTGATCCCAAAATAGACAGCGGTGCGGTGAGGGACGGGACTGCGCCGCCTGCGGGGGATCGCCAACCGCTTCGGTCGGAGCGAGAGGGTACGTGGGGAGGGCCCGGCGACAGGGAGACGGCGAAGTTCGCCGGGATCCGAACTTCTTCAGGCAAGGACGGGCAACCAGGGATTGTCGTGCCGGCGGGAGGGGCTGCGTGCGGTGGGTGGGAAGGGCATTCGTCGAAATTCGACACGGGTTTGGGCGAAGTGGCTGGATTGCATGCACGGGAAGAGGGCAGGGTGATGGACAAAGAGAAGGAAGGGGAGGAAGGAGATACAGGGGAGGAATTGGAGGAAGGAGGGGATGAAGGGGAGGAAGAAGAGGGTGAAGGGGAGGGAGGAGAGGAAGGGGAAGAAACGGAGTTGGCTGGGTTGCTAGGAGGGAAGGACGGGGAAAAAGGTGAACTCGATACTGGAGACGACGAACGGACGTTCGGCGATGACGATGACAGATCTGGGGAGTCGTCTGACGGATTCGGGCAGCTATACGGAGAACATCGCGGGGAAGACGACGACGGCGATGACACGGCATTGGGTATGGAGACACAGGTGGTCACAAGCCTTTCGGCAGAACGTGATGACTATGAGGTTGAAGCCATGACGTCTGCGGTTGATTTCCAACACCGGTTCAATGAAGCTAGTGTTGCAGTCATCCTGAATAAACCGAGTGTGCCATCGAAGAAGTTATCGACGGCATCCTGGGCGACCACCACATGTCCGCGCAGCCGTCCTCGACGCCTGGTGTCGACGACCCTCTCGACGTCAAACCTTCCGGGGGATCTGTCGTGGCTTTGTCGCCGACGAACTCTCCGATGCTGCCGCCGACCATCGCCATCGGAGGAGAAGGCGAGATCGGGGGACGACAAGATGTCACATCCCCGGAAAACACTGCCGCCGGCACTCGAGCTCTCGACGTGCTGGCCTTGCCCGCGCCAACTTCGCCGATTAAGGAGCGGAGAGACAAACCAGCTGGTAAGCAGTGACAAACACCACTCTGTCTGCGCGTCAGTGACCGCAGTGTCTGTCGATGCGGGGAGTTCCTGATGTCGGCATGGTACAGCCACCACTCCTTCAAACTTCCAAGTACATGTGAACGACCATCCTGTGAGTCGGCCAGGTCACTGGTCGTGTGCAGGGCATACGAGAGAAAAACATGTGTGTTTTTGTTGAAACGTTCCCTCACATGATGGAAGGATGGTGTTTCTTTTTCGGAATGAGTAGTGGTTTTAGTCCGCCGGGATCCACACTGCCAAGGCCACTGCGTAATGCGGTTGCTCTTTTTGTGCCTCGATTGGGAAAAGTCCGTCGGGATCCTAACTTCAGAAATGTTTGGTCTCTGCGTTTGTGGCTTGTTGAGGTTTTCTCTTCTGAAGGGCGGGGGTGTCGAGGTCGAACGCACTGCTCCTTTTGTTTTCCAGTGGGGCTTGCGCGAAAGTATTCTATGTCTCTCTCATGGATAAACGGGGTTTTGTAATTAGATAGGTCCTGCGTCTTCTACATTTCGTGGTTCTTGAATTGTCGTTTTCGTCGGATTCATCTTGGATTACGTATATTCATTTTCCGTTTTCTCTTCCTTCGGTTGTCCAGGGGTTGGGTCATCTCCCTGGGTCGGAAAAGTCCGCCGGGATCCGGACTTCAGAGATGTTTGGCTTCCGCTTCTGTGATTTGATGTGGTTTTCCCTTCTGAAGGGCGGGGGTGTCGAGCTCGAGTGCACTGCTCGTTTTGTTTTGGAGCGTGGCTCATGCGGAAGTTCTCTCTCTCGCACTCTCATGGCATGACGGGGTTCTGTAATTGCATAGGTCCTGCGTCTTTTAGATTTCGTGGTTCTTTTATTGTCCTTTCGTCGGGTTCTTCTTCGGAAACGTGTATTCATTTTTCGTTTTGTCTTTCTTCTGTTGTACAGGGGTAGGGCCGTCTCGAATACGGAGGCCCTCTAAATATCCGGAACACATATTGCAGACAGTCCCGGGGTTGACGACAAAACACAAAGACATGTTAAAGGTGTCAGGGGTTGATGTCGAAATCGGGAAGAAGGAGCATGTCATTGCCATTGAGGAGTGTCTTTCCCTTCTGCCCCCAGAGAAAGGGAGATATCCACGATCTGTGACTAGGGGTCAGGCCATTTATGAGAAATACTTAGCTACTCGTCGTGCGATGAAGGAGAATCCTTAGAGTTCCGTTTCTCACTTCCCCCCCTGTCCTTTGCTCGATGTTGTGCAGTGCGGGCCACGGCACCTGGAACAACAGTGACTGCGATTGGAAGCTTGCGGGTTTCGGACGACATTGAACGAGGCTTGGTGTCACCTGACACTTTACTCTCGACCCTCGACGATGGTCAGGTGCGAATTGCAGCGAAGGATATTCTCACCCTTTCACTTACCGACGGCAGGGTGAATGATGAGGTCGTCAACTTTTACATGGCGCTATTGCGAACGACCGCATATGGGATACGTGACATCCCGTCAGGTCTTGGAGTCTTCAGCTTTAATTCTTTCTTCTTCAGTAAACTGCAACTTCAAGGACACGGCGGGGTGTAAAGATGGGTTAAAAACGTGGATTTGCTTCAATATGATATTATCTTTGTTCCAGTCCTCAAAGATAATGATCACTGGATCCTCCTTTCCGTGAACTTGAGAGATAATGTTCTTGAGATTTTCGATTATTTTCCTTGCGTTGTAGTTTTTACCTTATTATTTTCGAGTTGATCGTACACTATTTGGAATGTCAAACATCACATACGCGGTCGTGCAGGCGCTTGAAGTCGGTAGCAACAAATGTTGTTATAGAGGGAGTTCCAAGACAAGTGGATGGAGTTAGTTGCGGGGTGTTTATGTTGACGTTTGCGACATTGTTGCAACGTGGCGATCGACCGCCTTTCAGGTTTTCTTGTAAAAATATTTCGTATATTATACGACAATTGGCATCATGTATCTTAGAATGATGTTGTCTTTGATGGATTCGATTGATTTGCAAACTTCTGTTTCAGAATATTTCATATTTTAACTGTCGCTTTCACAACGACATTACTTTCTTTTGGTGTTGCGAGTTTGAGTTGTCTTTGGTATGTTGATTGTCAGTCTGGCGTTGCGTGTTGCCTTCAGAATCTCTGTCAGGTCCGGCTCGTCTGTCGTGCCATTACATTCATCGCATTGCAGTCCTCGTTGCAAATTGTGTCCAGGTCATCCAAATATGTGCATATAATTCACCTCGAAATGATATTCGTGTGTGTGGTGCGACATGACCAACTGGAGTGTGGATGCAAGACAAATCTCGGCGAGTGTGTGGGTGTGAGGTTCGTTATGCAAAGAGTAAAACACCAGTGACATCACGTCTCTTGTGTGCATAGACAATCATGTACAGCCTGAATTACATGTAACCGACAATTTTTTGTTCGTGACCGGAAAAAATAAATTATATGTCAAAAATAATTGTTTGTACTTCTAAAGAAGTCTGAATCTCTACAACATCCAAACAACCGCCTCGGGCGATACGATTGCCATGCATGTAAAACTCACGCATAAAAGAAATAAATAATATTATCCAACAAGGATTCAATCAAGACACCTTGCTCATCACATTCACAAACTTGAAGTTTGACAAGTGTGGCTCCCGACACAATATCGCACAGGCATCCCGGATGGGCGTGCCTATCGCTACTCTACGGCTTCTAATATAATTATCCAACGAGAATGCAATCATGACACATTGCTCGTCACAATTATGGAATTGAAGTTTAACAAGTACGGATCCCAGCACACTTCCACACAGGGTTCCCTGATGCACATGCCTGTCGTTATTCGTTTATGAAGTTTAACAAGTACGGATCCCGACACACTTCGGCACAAGATTCCCGACACATTTCTGAAGTTCAACAAGTAAGGATCCCAGCACACTTCCGCACAGGGTTTGCCTGATGGGCGTGCCTATCGTTATTCGTTTATGAAGTTTGATAAGTACGGATCCCAGCACACTTCCGCACAGGATTCCCAACAGTGCCATGTTTTTGAAGTTCAGCAAGTAAGGATCCCGACAAACTTCCGCACAAGGTTTCCGTGCGGCGCGCCTAACATGTACGGGTTTGAACACGCTTCCTCATTTGGGATATCATTTATAAAGTTTCACCATAAGTACGGATCTCACCACACTTCTGCATGTGCTTAAGCCTTGGATGGGCGTGCCTACGTTGCTTGGCGCTGAGCCAAAAAAGAATTCGTTAGAAAGAGGACACAGCATAATGTCCTATTTTAACGAATAATATGTTACACCCGTTCGTTTTCAACGAACGGGTAACTTTGTGCCAGACTGTTTCATCGGACTTGCACGGAATCATCAAGGGGTTGCAACCCCAACAGTCTACCACTGCGCCTAAACCCGACGCTAATAGTGTCCAGGTACGGGCGCGCATGAAAGTGCGTGAGAGAGAGAGAGAGAGAGACCAACCATACCGTTGGCCCCATGGTACTTCCAACGATAGGATGCCCGGGAGGACCCTCGTTTCACGCGAGGGACGATGCGCTCGACAGCGTTATTGGGAAAAGGGGTTCCACTACCGGACACGTAGCAAAGACGAATACAAGGAAAGAGCGACCCGGCTAAGGCCGTCCACATCGGATTCCGAACTCTGTAACGAGCGGCGTCGGGATTTGATTTGAAAACGAGATCCCAAATGTGTACCCCCGCCTTTCCGCTCGAAAAGACGACACGTAGCCCGCCACATGGGGACTTTCAATTTCGTCTGTGGCCCCACACTCAATATTGCCAAAAATCCTTGGCACACCCTATTTTGTTGTTCTTTCAGGGCCCGTTCCGCATAATTTATTTCTCCGATTGAAAGACGAGACAGGGACTGAGGTCGGTATCGGAGCCGACACGTGTCGGTTCTGGTGATAGTAAGGCGATCTGGCGGGAGAACGAGCATTGCTCGAACGAATAAGAGAAATCCTCCCGTAATCAGAAACAAGTTGGCAGAGACAAGAAAGGAAGCAGTTGTAGCTAACACTAATGTGTTTGCCCCTCGTGTAGTGGTAAGCATTCCAACCACCTTTCTATTTTATCCTAACCACACTCATCCAGAGGCATGGCTTGAAGTGGTGGAAGCACGGACTACCAAGCGGATGACCTACCTCGAGTCATCACCTTGCTCATAAGAAATATTGTGCACGATTGGTTTAAAGTTTAAACGTCACCGATGGGTAGATTGAGATACGTTCAAAAACGCGTTTTTGGCAATATTTGACGAAGTAAGTGAGGACGCTGCATGGTTTATACTGAAAATGTGCCCTCAAAAATAGGGAGAGTTTTTGCCGGACTTTGTGGACAGATTTCAAAAAGCTCTGGAATCTGGATAAGTCTGGATGGGAAGAAAATGTTGCTCGAGACTAGTTCATAGATCATGTTCGCAACCCTGTCTTAAAGGTTAAGCTGAAAAGGAAAGTCCCTCCCAAAATGACTCAACTGCCGACGATCATCGCCAAAGCACTCGCGCTTGATTCACAAGATATGTGTAAGTATACAGATCAGGATGAGGAGGACATAGCAGATACGATATAAGATGTGATTGCAAAATGGAGATCGTATCTCCGATCGATTGGGCGATTTTACCAACGCCACAATCTCGAAAACCCAGACGGACCATCATCGAGTCATGTCTCTCATGCTCTCTCTGCCGTCATCTCTCCTCCCTCCTCTCCTCCTCCTTCCAAGATGACCCTTGTAATCGCAGTTTTACCGCAATCACCAGCACCGGTATCCATCATCAATCTTCATCTGACTCACATGGTTCATGCGGCTACTTCCCGACAATCGGAATGGATGAACCATCTGATCCAGACTCGGACGTCGCAGATGGACCAATTGGAGCAAGTTCTACGAGATCTAATGAGTATGCATGCAGAAGTACCATGCACCACTTAGTCTCCTCGTTCATACCCCCTGCTGCCTACCCCTTCGATCCAGACATCAGTTGTTCCCCTTGTAGCTCACATGGCCTCACCAGATTGTCGTACCACATGGAAGGGTAGAATGTTATTATTGGAGTCATTCGGCCCTAAAAAGATAAACTTGAATGGGTGGAACGCGAATTGGAACGCAGTCCTCAGTTGAGGTCAGAAAAAATCGATGTCTTACAAACGCAAAAAAAAATAGATATTTCAGTCTCTGTCCCCGTCGGTCACCTGTTAACCATCTCTGAAGCTGCAAACGACAAACGTCTCCAACAATGTATAAAAAAAACAAAAGAGATTTACATAGTGTCAGCGTGTCCAAGGGATGTTAAAAAAGAAGAAGAAGATGGTGCAGCTAGTACCTCCCCCACCTGATCCCATAACTTTCATCCACCGATTCCACTCCACGAAAAACATGAAGAGTCCAAGGCCACCCGAGTAGCAACAATCTCATATGCGGAGAAAAATCACTTTATCCGCGTCCGACTGATTCTATGGAAAAACGTGGAATGTGATTGTGAGGTATGGACCATATTGGGGAAGCTGTTCAATGCTCTAGTTTATACTGGGTCATCCGCCATAGCGCTTTCATTCGATACGGTTCGAAAGATCAGACGACTAAACTCCATTCTCCACTTCTCACGGAAGGATAAGGCGGCCATCTCTGTTGAATTTCTTCAACCTCGACCGTCCCTACTGTTTCGCCAAGTGTTTCATCTGCGACTCAACCCCGATGTACTGCTATGCTCGCAACTATTCAACCAATAAGCTAGGCATGCAGCAGTGGAGGTGACGATCTCAATGAATCGTGGTTCAATTGTGATCCTAGTGGAAGCATTAATGTTTTTGCGTTTTTTCTCGGCCAGCGCAAAGTGACGTGACAATGATTGTCTTGTTCACAACGATCTGTGCAACATCGGCACTTAGCAGCGCAACGACGTAATAGGGAACCTCAACGAGTGGGGGCGTGAACTGGTGACAGATTGGCGGCAGCGATTGACCAGGCCACGCGATCAGGTGATGGGTACAGAGTGTATCAACACTTTCTAGCTACAATCCAATATATTGGATCTGCTAGCCCCACCACGTCCTCCTCTTCGTCCTTTCCACCCTCTTCACCCATGAATTGCCTCTCTACCTTCTTTCTCCCCTTTTATCTTCCGACTCTCTGACCATCTTGGGTCAATCCTCTTCTCCCTCTTGAAACCCGTCAAATAACCATCCCTCCCTTCCGTCCTCTATATTTCAAGATTGTGTTGGATTCGTGGGAATCCTGACCATGAGCTTGTCTGCTCTTGGTGAAGGCGTATAGGGCGGGCTATTACGAAAATCGGGAGGCGGTCTTCCCAGACGAGATTACTCTGCTTCTAGCTCAAGTGTGGTCGTCAGATACAGCCGGACATTTGGTGAGGTGGCACAGCGAGGAAGAGCGACCGTTGCGAATGAAATCTTGGTCTTCTTGGTGTAGATCGTCGACTATCTGCCTTTGAGTGTAATCTTCTGTAATCCAAATGATCCAAACCAGACGAAGCTAGTGACAGACGTTGTGCAAGGTCGATTGCACGGCGACTTCGGGAGCTAGGTATGAACATGCTACTCCAGGTTTTCATGACGGTGCACAACGACTCCCATCTAGCACAATAGACTTAAGATGGTAGTTGATAGCCTAGTAGAGAGCCTAATTGATAGCTTAGTCTATAGAGGGATTGATACCCCTAGGTGATAGGTAAGTTGATGTTCTAGTTCGATAGATGAGTTGATATCCCAAGTGATAGCCTAGTTACTAGGCAAGTTGTATAGTATGAGACAGAGAGTTGAAGATCCTCCGTTCCCTTGTAGAATCTTAACAGTGCTAGGGTGACAGCTACGCCAGCCACACTATTTTGGACCCTTGGCCAGTACCTGGAGCCCAAGAAAGGGTACCAGAAAATCATAGTATGCAAGAGGAGCAAGCAAGTTACCCTCAACGTGAAGATGTTCGGGAAAGGCTAAGTCAAGTTCTCCTTCAGCCACATTCGGAAAGGAGAAAACAAGTTACCGTCGGCGTGAAGATGTTAAGGAAAGGCAAAGTCAACTCTATGTATCACCTGCGGTCGTGACCGCGGGCCATTTGACCTCACGCGGTCGGCATCCCGACCGCAGCGGGTGGCGCCCGCGGCCAAGTGCGGTCGGAAAACCCCGACATTTCTAAATCTTGGGATAATAGGCTAAAAAATAAAATAAAAATATGGGGTTGTAGGGCTTTTTATGCTCTACAACCGTGTATTTTTAGTTTTATGTTTTGACTTCTTTTTCGATTTAAAAAAAAATAAAAAACAGAAATCCATCAGATAAAAGTTCTTTACTTTAAATTATTCTTTTAGTAAGAAATAAAGGATTTTGTTTAATTTTTATCTTTTATTTGATAACGAATTTTGATATAACCCCAACGCAAAAGTTGTTCTGTTTAGGTTTGGGCATAACATATATTGTTTTCAGATTTTTCTGATTTTTTTTATTTTTTTTTTCCATGACCGCGGCCTCGGTCCGCGGTTGTACCCGCGGCGACCGCGACCGCGGGGGATTCATAGAAGTCAAGTTCTCCATCAGCTACATTCCAAAATTTGTATCCTTCGAATTGCAGCACACCTGTACTACATGTAACGGGAAGTTCCTGAGACAGGTCATCGGAGTACCAATGGGGAAGAATTTAAGTCCCCCACTGACCTATCTACTCTGTGCGAAGTACGACGAAGAGTTCCTGAGATCATTGGGAAGCGACCGCAAACTTGTTCATAGAGTGAGATTTATGGACGATGTGATGTTGACTTTGAATGGAAGGAAAGAAGGCTCGAACGGTAAGGCATTTAAGATTTTAAAAAAGTTTAACAACTGCTATGGAGATATGCTCTCACAGTCTCACTCGTCCACACAAATGATGACTCTAACACCATTAAATTCGTTGGGGCGAGACTTACAGCCGTTTCAGGAAGGATCTGCTTCCTCATGGAGCCGAAGATCAATAATGAACTGAAGTGCCAACCGGGAGGACTCCAGCAGCAACTCGTCGATTGTTGCTTCCAGGATTTTAGTTCCTACTCAGACAAGTGGGTGAAAATTGGAGCTATAGTCGGTAGTCTCTACCGCATTCAACAAATGGCAAGCTGCGAAAGCACATTAATCTTACCTGTCCTAGTCATGAAGAACGAGCTGATACTCGCGGGGGATACCCCTCGACGTTGTTCTTCAATATCCTAGCACGATATGCTAAGGGCACCGGGGTTCTCAAGGCGCCCTGGGTCAGGCTGCTCGAGAACCTGGTACAACAGGACAACAGTATGCGAACAAAATTTTTGTGGCGGATGCGGCTTTGAATAGGGACTCGACTTACAAAATATTTATGTTCGTTTTACTGCACGGTGAATTTTTGCGTAGGTAGTTGTTCCCATGAAAATAAAAACTGTCGTAATTCTTTACTTGCTTGTAAACCGGCTGGAAGTAGGGAGCATGATATCGAATAGAGCCCGACTTTATGAAATATTGCAAATTTGAAATTATGTAAATAGTAAACAGTATCGGACTACCCGTGTAGAAATTATCCTACAGGCTACCAAATTTTGTCCTCTGGAATACGTGGCATTGGAGTAGTTGGCATGCCACGGTAGCCTTTGTGCCCTAGTCACAGTACTACTGGTCTGCACCCGCCCAGAGCCAGAATGAGCAGGAAGACAGTGTGAGCGTCAGGATTTCCCCGAATTTGAAAGTGTAACAAGTCACGGGCAGCACGCGTATAACTAATTGGACGACTGAGCCACGTAGTAGGATGTGAAGGTTACGATCCACGTTGTGCAATGTGGTCTAGTGAGAAATTAGAGTCAGGAAGTAGGCGTTTGACAGTGAATAGTGAACGTTGGAAATAATATTCGTGGAGAAAGCCGCAGTCTTCACAAATATTATTTCCAACATTCACTATTCACTGTCAAACGCCTAGTTCCTGACTCTAATTTCTCATTGGACCACATCGCACAACGTGGATCGTAGCCTTCACATCCTACTATGTGGCTCAGTCGTCCAATTAGTTACTGTGTAGGTGTTTGACAGTGAAGGCTGGTCAGAAGGAACAAATTGTTGTGTTGGCTATCAGAAGCTTACGCGGTTTCCTTATGTCACTTATGTGGAGCCCGTTGAGGGCCCGACACGTAACGGATCTTATAGAGTCTACCACAGCTTCTGAGCAACAGTACCAGCCATAGCCGTAGTCACTCGTGGGGGTGCCCTCGTGGAAGTGCCCGTTAGGGATGTGAGTACTATGATGGCGAGGTTTTACATCTTGGTGTACAGTATCTAGGAGGGCAAGGCCACATCGGCCCTCTACGCTCAGTAGGTTGGGCAGGACTATCGGCGGGCCGCAATGCATGGTCATGTGGAAAGCTCCCTGAGGATGATCGGAGTGCAACCGATCGAAACGCGTCGAGGAATGTGCATGTAAGATGAGACAAGTATGGGCGGCTATGCATTGAAGAGCTTTCTAAGCTGGCAGGTCGATCCGCCTAGAGATCGGAAATGCGGCAGACTTTATTCCCGCTTTTAAGTGGTTCATGCAGCGGCAGGGTACACCGAGAGATGAGTGGGCGAGGACGTTACCCCTCTGGACCAGAAAGGCGGAGAGGCCACTGGCTAAGCAGGTCAGAGACATGGCTCGGGATTGGGAGAGCTGAAGGGCACATCTGAGAGAGGCCTTTCGACGGCCAGAGCCCCCTCAGCACAGAGTCGAGAGGCGTCAGAGGAGTCAGAGGCAGAGGGACCCTGAGCCTAGGGAGGCGGGACCATCTCGAGGAGGACGGAAGGCCCTAGCCAGGAAAGAGGAGGAACCAGAGCCGGAACCAGAGGCTGAGGAGCGAGGGGCGTATCTTGAGTGTGGGTTGGGACCAGTGGAGTTCCATCGGTTTACCGAGGGTGGATTGAGGAGGTCGCCAGCACGCACACAGGAGGAGCCGCCAGCATCTGAGGGGCACTTGAGGGAGTTGGAGGTGCATTTGGATATCTCTCGGTGGGGAGCGTCGCCTTGGGGTGAGGACCATGGAGAGCAGATAGAGGAGGTGCCACGAGAGGAGGTGCCACAGGCGGAGGTACCACGAGAGGAGGTGCCTCGAGAGGAGGTGCCACGAGAGGAGGTGCCACAGGAGGAGGTCCAGGATACTCAGCGAGATAGAGAGCTAGGCGATGAGGGTAGATGTGCAGGGAAGGAAGTGATAGAGGTTGGAGAGGACACGCCCCTCAGACGCCAGCGGTGGGTTTGAGACTCGGGGATGCACCAGGGAACACTCGCCAGGCAGGGGAGAAGTTGCAGAGAGAGGAGGCCTCATTGGCTTCATCAGAAAAGACCCCTTTGCCAGAGGGGAGAGCAGAAAGGAGGAGAGAGGGCAGCTGTAAGGAGAGAAGCCTTGACCCTGATTGACAGGCACCTAGCAGCTCATGCCCTGGAGCACCTAGACCTGGAAGAGCCAGCACCTACAGAGCCGCGCCAGGAGCCGTGCCAGCCCGAGAAGGAGATGGAGGCAGAGATCCCAAAGAGGGTCGACCTTCGCACGAGGGAAAGGGCGCCAACTGGAGAGACAGCAGAGGAAAAGAGGGCGAGAAGAACCAGGAGGATAGAAGAGGTATGGCAAGAGAGGCAGAGATTGGAGGCAGCGGGGGTACTTCTGGAGCAGCAGCAGGAGAGGCAGAGATCGGAGGCAGCAGGAGCGCTCCCAGGTCAGCCACCCAGTGCGCCACCTAGGGCCCCGGAGATCCCAGAGATGTGGAGGGACTTCTGGGAGCAGAAAGGAGAGGAGCTTCAGTCGCCAGTCAAAGTCAGGTTTGGGGTGGCCAGGAAGGCGGAAGAGAGGTTAAATCGCAAAATCAAGTTCCTGGCCAAGACAACTTTTGACCGGCACTTGTTATTGGATGGCGATCTGGAAGGGAAGAAGATAAAGGAAGCAAGCCATGGAGTACGCCTGAAGGCTATGGAGGTAGATATCCAGGAAGTCATGGCATTGGTGGCCAGCCAGGCAGCTATCATTGAGAGTCTGAGGCAGCAAACCCAGGGAAAGGTGGACAAGCCAGAGAGCAGCAGGCAGGGAGAGCAGAGGCAGTCAGGACATGGGTTACGAGGACAGCCATCTGCAGCAGAGCCTCGCCAGGAGCCACCTATGGGGAGAGTTATCTTGGAGCCAGAGGAGCCGAGAGGCCAGAGACAGGCGGAGAGAGAGACCTTTGAGTTCAGAGCCCCTACCGAGCTCGCGACGCTGCCTGTAGCAGTGGCGGGCCCAGTCGTACCTTTGGCAGTTGAGGAGGGGCTACCACCATCTAGCAGTGAGCCGGCTCAGGGCTCAGCAGAGGGTTCCATGGGCGTGCTCCTTGAGGCAGTGCATACCATGCAGGAGGAGGCGAGTTTGTTTTCACCCGAGCAAAGGAAAGAGGAGCCTCTTGAGAGAGAGATGGGGATTGAGGCGGAGGGTGCCATCGAGGGCGGGCTCCAGAGGTTGGGCACACCTGAATATGGGCCAGAGGAGATTGAGGAGCAGCCCATGGTAGTACCAGGACAGATACTCGAGAGGAGTCCTCAGAGGTAGGACACGCCTGAATACGTCCCGGCGACAGGGGATTTGAGGAGCAGACTGGGATCTTGGGATACTGGATCTGGGTCTGGGGGACCGGTTCCTAGGATGGAGCAGCAGGAGGTTGTTAGTACCACAACCCCTCGATCAGAGCGGCAGGAGGGTGTCAGTACTATGGTAGGATCTCCTTCATCGCCATCTCCTCAGCCCAGGAAGAAGAAGTTCAAGAGGAAGGTTGATCAGCTATGCTTCTACTGCAAGAGGGGCGTGCATCTGGCTGTGGACTGTCTCGAGTTCTTTGAGGATAAGGCAGAAGGGAAGGTCTCAGAAGTAGGGGGTAAGATGTATGATAGACATGGTAGGATAGTAGAGAAGTCCGCAGATGGACTTAGGGCTCAGTTATATAGGCAAAACCGGAGGAGTTGAGGAGGTAGGGTTGGTTTGCCTATGTAATTGGTTGTATATCTTTGTGAGGTGTCAACTTAGGCTCTGTGTGATACCCTCTTAGACTTAGAGGACCTTTTGACGATTGTTATTAGTCTAGATTTGAACTTTTCTGTTCCTACTGAGCTGGGGTCTTGAGGATCAGGGTGATCTAGATGAGGCATGTACATATTTAGGTGGCCTACGATGAGAGGCCCAGGTTAGAAACCTGGCAGCATATAGTTGTGGAGGCATGGTTTGATGGAGGCCTCGACCCTGTGTTTGTCGGCTAATCGAATTGGCACATGTTTCGTCAGCACTTGGAGTGTGGATAAATTTATAGCTTTCTGATCTGGCGAAGCGACGGGGACGTCGCTTAATATGGTCCGGTAAGCCGTCGGCGCGAATACCCTTACAAGGATATCCGCCCTGTTTTTTGCAAAAGACAAAAAATAGTTTGGTTTAAAGTTTAAGTATACTGCGCTAGGTGAGGCCGCGTCTGTAGTTTTCACGTTGACTGGTTGGTTGACTAGAGTAAAGAGTGCGCGGGCGCTCATGTTTAAGGCGCGCGTGATTCTGTTTTGTTTTTTATCATAAAGCCGGCGCGGACATCGGTTGTTTGGTTAATAATATTATTAATATTTATTTTATTTTTGGTCAAGCAAAAATTTGAGATATTTTTTGTTGATGGGTATGTCTGACAGAGGCGAGTGCGTGTGCGAGGGCGACGACATCGACAGTGATGGATACGGCCAAATAGGGGTAGCCGCGGCATGGCCGGTGGGCCGGCGTGAGTTTTTCGGCGGCCATGCGTACAGGCGCGGGTCGAGAAGCGGCCAGGGCGGTTCCTTGGCCCTAAAGGCCCCTAAGAGCCGGGGACTACCTCTTTATTAGGAGGTATGTGCCTGTTGGTGCTAGGTTTGGGCTTAGCCCTGTGGGTTACGACAGTGGGTTGACGATACGGAGGTTCGGGGATCGAGGCTAGCGGACGCTGGCACGGCAGTAGCAGAGCGGCATGGAAGAAAACCGAAGGGTTGAGGATCCTGTGGGGCTATCCCCCTCGGTTTTGCTTATGAGTGCGGCGGCGGGCCCGATCCGCAGGACTGGCAAGGTGCCAGCGCCCCGCGGTTCCCCGGCGTTACTGTTATTTTATTTTACTTTCCCTTTCTTGTCCTGTCCATTACGTCTCGTCTTGGGACGCGGGACTGTGGTAGGAACGCGTGGGGGAGTGTTGTATTCGCAGATTGCCTGGAGTGCAATTACAAACTGTTTCCGCGACCACGCCTGAGATGTCCGTGCTTTTATATAATTTTTGTTTACCTGTTTTTCTTAAAAACCGCGCCCCGTTCTGTTTTGGGACGCGGCAGAGTAGGGGTGTGACAGGCCCCAAGAGCCTAGCTCACTGGGTACACCATTGAGCTGTTGAAATACAGACCATGTTCAAACCCAGATAATGGGCCTTGATGAGTAAAAATCGAATATTCCGAATTGCCTGAGGGTCGGGGTTCATTGACCCCGCGGCCCAGGCTATGTCCTTCAGGACATCCGTTAAAATTGGAGCGATACAAAGAAGACTAGCATGATCCTTGCGCAAGGGTGATACGCATAAATTGAGGGCTGCTCCCCTGCTATTCTAACGGTGAGCCGACATAACGGAGGGGTGGAGGCCGCCACGATGGCGGATCGCGAAGTATGCACTTACCAAAAACTCAAGTTCCTAGCTTGCAGCAACCCCACGTCCTCTCACCCACTGTGGTGTTGGAACTAGCACGAGAATCGAGTGTCGGGTGCTCGCTTTAGCGTCGTCCGCGCTCAAGGCTGGGCTGATCCGTCCGGTGGGTTGTCATACACTAGCAGGGTCCGACCTCTCGCCGTCTGTGATTAGTTGATGCCTTTTGAGATCTGGCTCGGCAGGGTGTTGGTACAAATAGTGGTGTAAGGGCAGAAATGGAGGGCCGAATCCAGACTCGGATCCGCGCCAAGTGCATGCGAGTTGGAGCGCTATCGGGGAATGGAGAAAATGAATCGTGGCTGCTAAGACCGAGATACGGCGTTAGTACCGAGAGGTTGGAATTGTCAAAGGAGGCTCACGCTCAATTATAGGGCCAAGCGATGCGGTCAGGGAAACGTTCGTGAGGACTAGCAGTGATGCTGTCGGATGCGGGGGTGCAGGGCTGCGTTAGCAACAATGGGTGAGGTAGCTAACGGTGGATGAGGAGATGGGCCGAGGCGGACAGGCAGTTAGCAATGAAGTGACGATGAACTGAGCCGGCGGAGTGGCTGTCGCACGGAGTTCATCTCGAGGGAAGAGTGCCCACTGCCTAGAGTGCAAGAGGGGAAAAGCAAAACGATGAAGTGGCGCCAGGTGCAGTCAACAGCGGAGCTGGGTGTCGTCGTGCAGCAGATGGGGGTAGACATGGCAAGCTCTCTCGGGCGGAGCTGCGTTGGGCCGAGGAGCTAGGAGGACAGCGGAGCGAAAGGGCCGACAGGTCGAGCACGGTGAGCTGTGCTGAGCGAGCGGACAGAACGCAGTTAGTGGGAGCGGGCCAGGTGCGGGCGGAGTAGGAAAGCGCAAAGCAGCAAGGGGAGGCGATGGCGCAGCGGACGGACGAGCGTTGGGGGAGCAACAGCACGGCGAAGGCAGGGGGAGAACGACGGAAAGGACCTGGACGCGTTTCACTCGGCGAGAACTAAGGCGGCGTGTCGGGCAACTGGGGAAGCACGCGACCGAGAAGAAACGAGCCAAGTGAATGAATCTGGACAATATATTGCGCCGGATGCATTGGAAGCGGAGGTGGAAGATGGCGGAGAGAAGATAGTGAAGCCCGCCCGTTTCTGGAGGAGATCAGGTTGGGCAAGAGTCTACTTAGAGGTTTTAAACCATGGCGACCTCGATTCCGACGTTAGTCTTAGATGAGAGTTAGTGGATTAGAAGGTTAGTTAGAAAAAGAATGCGTGAAGGTGGCGGGAGCTCAGCTATGGGAAAAAGGGAAAACGATGATACTTCACTCCTTTCTCTATAGAATCGAACTAAGTTAGACGCTATTCTGAGGTTTTAAGGCAAGGCGAATGCAATGATAGCATTGGTTTGGTCAAAAAGTCAGTGAAGAAAGAGTTAGTTGAGAAAATTGTTGCGCGGTGATGTCGAGAAGGAATGGACATGGTGGGAGGGAGATGTGATACCATGCCCAATTCTTTATGGAATCGGGCGAGGTAAGATAGTAAATCGGGGTGATTGGGTAGGGCGAATCTACTGGTAATGTTAGTTTTAGTGCTAAGTTAGTAGGATAGGCGGTTAAGTAGAGATAGGTGTCGCGCGATGATATGACAAGCGTCGGGAAGAAAAAAAAGGAAAAGAATTAGTAAAGTGTCAATGCACCTAGTTGTTTTTGTGGACACATTCAGTCACTTTGGTGAATCCCATGGAAACAAGTAGCAGGGAGCGAGCCAAGGGAACGGGGACTTACCTGTTGGTCGGTGTCCTTGTTTGCAGACTGAGATAGTGGAGGAATGACAAAGAGGCATATTTACTTAGTGCCTATGGGTCTGAGCATAGCCAGAGAGGGAAGGAGGGGGGGGCGAACTGAAGCCTTAACTGCTCGAGTTTGTGCTCATCTCGTCGGAATCAGGGAGTGAGAAGCCGTTAGCATGATTGGAGTTTGCTTGGTGGGTGACAGGAGCCAACAGTGCGTGGGGATTGATCGTGATATGAGCGGGTTGTATATTGCTATGTTTTGTGTCAGGTGTGTGGATGTCTGTGCCTGATCTCTGTCGGGCAATCGCCCGTCTCCCGTTTGGATTGTAGGTGGGACGTTGTGGGGCAGTGTGTTTGCCGAGCGGTATGACAGTATTGGTGGCATTGCTCTACGTCTCGTTGCTCCATCGAAGGGCTGCTCACCGAGGGCCATGCCATCGTGATTGCCACTTGCGTGCCCAAGTTGGCGGCCTTGTTGCTAGTGCCTTGTGCTCCACTCCACGGCTGCCGGTCTGCTGGTCCGGAAGCCTAGCTAGAACCGGCAAGGCGGGTACTTTGATTGCGTTGTGTTGTACTCTGCTTCGCGGGTTCCACGCTACATCCGGTGGGCCGAGGCGAGCCCTGCAGTCGATCAAGGAGGGAGTCAAGATTTGAGGGTAACAACGAGGTTGGCTGTAAGACTACAGACTCAACAGACAGTTGGTACTTACCGCTGAACGGAGCAGCGGTAGACTAGCTACAGGGGAAAGACTTGGGGACTAGTGATGTAGTGCCGCTACTACAGCATGAGCAATAGTCGCGGGCGTGTCGAGCTTGCTGCGTATCGTTGTGGTAATCATAAAAACTGACAGATTGAGAACTTCTCCCTGATCTTAAAGATGCAGTGTGGCGAAGACTGTCCTGAAGAGGGGCGTACTGCTGCGATTGGGAGGACCGTTAGGAGGTTAGCGTTTGACGCTTTGACTTGATTTTGGCGATATTATTGCGTATTTTGGCCACCATTGCAGGACCCTCAGGCGATCCAAGATTAAGGCCCTCTCTTGCGAGATTGAAAGCACCATTCTAGGATCTGAGAGTCTCCAGTCTATCTCTTTCTGCCCTTCTAAGTGTCAGTCTAGTCCTTCGTTACGAGAGGAAGGCGGCAAGCGGGATTGCAACCCGT